TAACTGTCTCTGGAAGTGAAAGCACCAGAAAATATATTGAGTCCTACGCAGCTGTCATCCGCACGCAAGGAAGTAAGCACAAGATGCCGAACACCCTTAGCAGGATGCAGCGCACCCTTCATGCGACTCGCCGAATATCTCACGGCGCTTCGCGCTTGGTGATGTGAGAGCCTGGTCCGGTGAGAACCCGGCGTGCTCCGTCCCGGCTTTGTAGGGATGCGAGGTCAATGGTCTAACGACTACGGCATGCACGACTATGAGTATGTGAGTACACCATGGGGATTCGAACTCACGACCTCTGCGACTAGCGGATTACGAGGATACCACTAGCTCACCGGGGCGACCTTATGGTTACCGCCAAAAAAAAAAAAGATGTCAAAAAACCCCGGTATTCTCGTTTCCGAGTTGACGAAATGAATTGGCTTGTTTGACAACGTCGTTGCCAAGCGACGAAAACCCAACCCCGATGGCAAACACCGGGGGGGGGGAGCGTACTCATAGCTGTGCATGCCGTAGTCGTTAGATCATTGACGTAAGCGGGATGTGGCATCTTCAGTTACCCGTATGGTACAGTGCATCACCTGAGCTATCTAGGCGTGGTACACCGTGTCGTTGTCGTCATATTGACAACCGTTCCGATCCTCGCTCAGTACCTTCTTATGTCCGTACTGGTCCAACTGACGCGGACCCTTTCTGTTCTTTCAAGCCAACTACCCGATAATTGTGATAATCATGGGGTTGATTGAGTCTGCTAGAGGATTTTACATTTTCCAATTTTGTTTGTAATCGCGTAGGTCTCAAGTCAGCATTTCAACGCGACCGTCGATAGCCCGGGGAGCACGATAAATATCAGTCCTACCTCGACCATCACTACCGTCTGCTGCCCCTGCAGCCAACCCTTTTACGTACAAGTTGCTTTTTGTTTTCCCTTCCTAGAGCTCGAAATGGTCATTCACAAGTGATGATGTACAGCAATGTTCCCTCGTTGAAGTACACCATTTGAGGGTAACTCACTCCCCCGGTGAAGGACGCCTTTTTTTTCACAGGCATGGTGCCCCGCGGAATGTACTACAATATAACGAGGAGGTACTAATCTTGAGGACTTTCCCAACTCTTAGGGGTGCCTGGTTTTTCGAAGAACCATGTGTGCACTTAACCGATGGACGGCTGTACGCTAACGGCTCGGCCTGGTTGTTGCCCGCCCTGTACTTGTCATTGCCAGACCGGAGCAGTCGACACTGTTGGAAGCAAGAGAACTGGAGGCCATGGCTGCACAGGCGAAGGAGCTGGCCAGCGCTGCTGCCACTAGCCGCGAGCGCCGAAAGCAACAATTGTGACACATCTCGTCTCTCCCGCCCACAAGTGTACGGGGAGAGGTGGCGCCGCCCGTTGGACTGCTGTTTGGCATACATGCATGATACATATTTAGACGTGTTTTGTGCGTTCAGTGTTTTCGTTTCTGGTGCGGCGACGACCCATTGTCGTGTGAGCCTGCGTCTTCTGTCACGTCTGATCCAATCTGCGAGAAAAATCTCGACAAGCGACGCTCGCGATAGCCACGCCGGAAAGCATCCGTCGCCATTGCGAGTCCGACGATTAGGCCTCTGCTGTGCTGACGCCCAACTGTTCATTTCGTTCGGTGTTTCGTTGATTCATTTTTTTTGGTTGTGTCTTGACGTTCCTTGTCCTATTCCCAGTATTCCAAAAGTTCAAGCCTACAAAGCAAGAGCGACGCCCCTCACGCGGCGGTACAAACATGTGGTAGATTCGGGCTGTCCCTTGCGGTGATACAAGGAGGAAGAAGTAGTAGATTTGGGCTGTCGCAAATCGAACCGACTACCGTTTACGACACAAGATAACACGCCCCCTAGACGATTTGCAAAACTCGATTAATCAACTGCAGAAAAGCCGCAGCGCCGAAATGGCGGCGTTGAAGCCGTCTGGTGGAGAGTTGTCCGAAAACGTATCTTACCGTTTATGCATCCTCTTCTTTTTGGAGTGTTCGAGCTTTGAAAAATGATCCAGGGAGTGTGCCATCTTGTGCCGTATTGGGAAGCGGAAGGTACAGCAGTGTGCTGTCGATGTCGTCGTCTTTTTTTTTTTGTGGCTGTGGACGTGCCTTGTCCTTTTCCCATTATAGCCAAGTTGAAGCGTAGAGGCGTAAGAGCGGCGCCCCTCTTGGGGGCGATACAACAATGTAGTGGATTCGGTCTGTCTCGTGCGGTGATACAAGGACGTAGTAGCTTCGGGCTGTCGCAAGTCGAGCGGGATGGGGGGAAAGGTACAGAGTACCGTCATCGTCCATGGTTTGTGTTCGCCATCGTGTGCTATTTATGGGTATCATGTCTTCCCCGTGCGTTGCCGAGTCCGTTGTTTAGGCAGCCGATTGGCGCGGAATGGGTCCGGTGGGATCAGCTCTTCCTTACCTCCCTTGGCTAAAGGGTCCGTGCCCATGTGTGTTTCTGTGCTGTCCCATTCGTGTCGTGTTTCGGTTTTTCGGCTGCGTGATACGGGCCGGGTTTTGCGACGGGGTTCCATTATGTTGAAAATGAAACAGCAGCGAGTCACATGCATACCGCCAGACGTTTGTAGCAGCACCACAGATTTGGCAACTCGAACAGTAGGATACCTCTAGCAAGCAGGCGATTGTCCTGAACGGTAGCGCAGAACGGACTTGCTGCTGCTTCTTGCATCCGGGTGTCTGCCTACTTGTCGGCCTGCTTCTGTCGCCTGTTGGAGTTGTTCATCAAGGACGTTTCTCGATGTGGAAATCAACTTTTGAGTGTAAGAATGATGCAGGCACGTGTGGTATTGATTGAATCGACCGGCATTGCGGCGACTGCTGGGGACCCTGTCGTCCTCCGCGACAACCACCCTGCTGGGCGATCCCCGGACTCCAAAATGTGTTCGCATATCGTGTCCCTCAACAGGAGTAAGGCTCATCACCTGATTTCCTTGGGCGGCCGGATAATCGGACGGACCAATGCTCCCACACTCGGTACAGCTCGGGTCCCTCGCACCGTAGAAGACTTTTCTCCGTCACTTCTTCCGCAAACTTCGAAAACGCTCGAAACTCTTCGGAACCATGTCAACGGCACGAAACAACCGGCCCCGCTCTCTGTGTTTCCAATGGCCCAAGCTTCGCACAAGCCGTCGTTGGACCCAAACGACACGTGCTCGCCGGCATACGCGCGAGAATGACACAACAACAAGCACCACGTGGGCACGTCGTATATACAGTAGCATGCACCTTATTTCTTCAGCAGATCGTGCAGCGTTTCTTTACCAGAACGTGCAGCGCATTCATGTATTAGTGGCCTCGTTGAAGGTACGACTGTTTCGAAAATGATCCATGCTTGATTTGTGTCTACCGTAAGGTTGCGGGTTAGCGCACGGTCCGGGGTTTCCGGACGATCCGGAGTCGTCGCACAGGGGTGCGATGAAAATTAAATGGCATAAATATTTAATTCGATTTCCGTACAGGGTCCGACGTTACCGCACAGGGGTGCGATGACTCGCAACCTTCAGTAAGGTAGTAGTGGGGTGCGAGCGATTTCGGGGCAACTTCACCCGTGCAAATATGCCAGTGCTGGCCATGGCAACTTTCACATCTGCAACCATGCCAGTGCTGGCCATGGCAACTTTCACCTCTACACCCATGCTATTGCTGGCCGATGGCAACTTTCACCCCTGCAACCATGCCAGTGCTGGCATGTAGCTCTGCTGTATGGGTAGGTAGGTCATCGTCGCATACATTGGTATTTCCATGGATGGGATCGGTAAACTCGAGCATTGTCCATTCAACCAAAACATTAGAAGTAAAAAAGCAGCCATCAGCCAATACAACTAACAGCAGTAAGTACCATGGAACGGCACCATGAAACAGCAGCACTATTGTAACTTTATTCTACGGAGTACTTCTTTCGCTACGAAATAAAACTCAACCCCGTCACCACCAGAAACACCGAACAGCGCCAGCCTCCGTACTGCTGGAACTCACACACAAGCACGTTCGGGCAGCCAACCTGCCACTACTGGTACAACACAAGAGAGCGCGAGCCAAAACGTTTACAGACCACCCCCTCCCGCAGCCCCAACCCATGGCCCATCCAACAGCTCTACATCGCTGTCGCCGTCTATGATCTCCACTTCATCGTCACTATCCCCCTCGGGAGGCAGCAACCTCGCGGTGACCTTCTCTGCAGTCGCGATCGGGTTGGCGCTAGATGCAGATGACACCTCGGGTAGCTGCAGCGGCGGGAGAGTCACGCCGAGGTGTTGTGCTTCCCACTCGGCGCGCTACTGGACTAGAACCTCACGGTAGCCTTCACCAAAGTTGTGGGTGCACCACGCGTCGTCCTCGCTACCGTCGAGCGCAAGCGTGAGGCCGCACACCTTGAAGCACTTCTTGACCGTTTCGGGGGTGATAGCTGCCCATGACTCCTTGCACCGCGTCGACACGAGCCCACGCCCCGGCGGTTGAAGCTTGCCCGTCTTGGGGTCTGCGATCGCCGACGCCATGTACTGTGTGCACCGCCCACGCATCAGTCGCTTTATCTCTTTGTTCAGCATGCGATCCAGCGGCTGAAGAAGAGGAGTCAACCCGCCCGGGATGAGGATGACGGTGGTGTTTGTCCTCCTCCGGAGGTCCTCGATGAAGGATTCGCTACGGTGGTACCTGAAGTCGTCCAACACCAAGATGCTGTGCCGCTGCTTGATCACGCTCCCGTGGTTAGGCCAAAACCTCCAGCGTTCGGACAGCCACAGGGTGCACTCGCGCGTCACACCAGCTTTTCTCCTGCACGCCGAAAGACATGCCGGACACAGGGTAACCGAACTTGGTGCGGTTGGCAGGAAGGACCTCGGCCGCAATGGAGCCCTTGCGGGGCTGAGTGTTCTTTCCCCGCCCCGCCGTGCTAGGCGGGATGAATGGCTTGCCCTTGAAAATGATTCGCAGGGGAACCTTGCCACCGTCCGCCATGACAGCAAGACATAGCGTGAAACGGTCTTTCTCTTTTCCTGCGGGGAAGAGAGGGGGAGCAAGTGTACGGAGGAGAAANCTTCCTGCGGGGAAGAGAAGGGGAGCAAGTGTACGGCGGGGAGAGGGGGAAGCTTTCGATGTTCAGCGACTCAAGCTTGAGGCTGGTGTAGTAAACTTCGACAGCACGAATCAAGGAAGCAAACAAGCACGCGAACGCAATACAAGCGCAAAAGCGACATACAATAACATCCGCAGGGGGAAAGGTGGGGCACGAAAACAAACATATGTATATTGAAAAAAGCTGTGCGATCCCGGCTGATACATAGTATGATTACCAAAGAGGAAAAAAAAACTTAAGACTCGACTGGTACCATCAGAGACGGGACGAACACACACACAGCGCGGTCGATGCTAAAAAATACAGACAAACACAGGAATTGGTATGGCACATAGACTACAGCAGCAGTAATTGGTATGGGTATTTATAGGTGAAGTCTCACCTCCCGTGCTGATGCGAGCATCCTTCGCACCGCGCTTCTCCAGAGTTGTTTCCACTAGCATCTCCTGCTGGACTGGCGTTTGGTCCATGTTGCCGAGTTCTTCGAACCCTTCCGCGGCAACCGACTCTAGCTGAGCGGGACTGAGGTCCTTCCCTTTGATGGGGCTCTCGCCAGATGCAGGTGGGTTGCGCCGAGCGTAGATCTATCTCACCAGCGCGCTCCATGAGGGCCGTACGAAGCTTCATCAACGTCGCGGACGCCAAACCCTCGTACCCCGTCGGTAGCTATTGTCCCACGCTGGTGCGCCGTTCGCGGAAACGATGGTACCAGTTCTTCTTGAACTTGGTCCTGAAAGCCAATGTCTCCTCCGCCGACGCAGCGGCTGTCAACCCGCCGAGAGCGTCAGGCTTCAGCTCAGGCAGCTTGTTCATGACTTCCATGCTTCCGCAGCCGCGATGATCCCTACGCTGCTCGTTGATGTAGTCCTCCAGGTCTTGTTCGACCTCGGCTATCGTAGGTGCCATACCAGCGTGAATCGATTTTGCCTGCGATAGTTTTTTAGGCTTGTCTCTCTTCACCAGCTTCTTCATTGTTGCCTCCTCGCCGACCCAGCCAGGTGATGATGCGCCTGCGATCCACCCCGAGAACTTTCGCCGCTCCGGAATTTCCCACTGGTTGACCATCCTCGCAAATGACTCGCGTGAATGCGGCTGCTTTCAGTTGAATCTCATGGGGTAGCTCCCTTTCTTGCCTCCGGTCCTCTCGTTGACGAAGTCAGGCTCGGGGTATTTGCTAGGGTTGGGTACTGGCGCTGCGCGCCAGTAAAAAGTATACTGGCTGCGTCAGCAGCCAGTANTGACTCGCGTGAATGCGGCTGCTTTCAGTTGAATCTCATGGGGTAGCTCCCTTTCTTGCCTCCGGTCCTCTCGTTGACGAAGTCAGGCTCGGGGTATTT